GATACTTTTTATCATTATTTTTGAAATTTGTATAATTCAAATTTGTAAGATCTTAAAATCACATACAAAATAATCGTTATTTACAAAGTTTACATTATTTATTTTTTTAAATCATTAAAAACTTTGGTTATTGCTATAGTTACTTTTAGGTTGTCCTGAACGCGAATCTGTTGTCATTTTAAATTTAAAAAAAATCTCTAAAATACTTCTCGATTTTCGACTTCAAAAAACCATGTCGGTTAGCCACTGCCACTACTTTAGTCGATACTATACGAAAAAACCGTTTCATTTCTCTTTAGTAAGATCTATCCAGCGAAAAAAAAAAAAAGATCAAAATTGAGCCATAAACAAATATTATACATTATTAATGCTTAAGCGAGGCGCCCGCTATATTTCGAGCACCCTGTATCCGAACTTCATGGAAATTAATATAGTTAGGTTTTATGTAGTCAAAAATTATTCCCCATTAGCTATGAGTTCAGGTTGATTTAATAAGAAATATAAGGTTTTAGTACTTTTTTGAGAGATCAATCCAACAGAAAAAAATTATCAAAATCAAATTGTAGTCGATGTTACAGCCTTGACCGGGGCAAGAATATTTCAAACACCCTGCATTAAAACATTTTAAAAATTGGTATAGTTGGGTTTTAAGTACTTTATTTTTTAAAAAATCCCTAACAGTGCTTCTCTCTTCCTTGTCTTTTGTTAAATACTCTCACTTACCCATACTTTAAGCAATAAGTAAAACAAGGTTTTAATGCATTTTTCAGAGACCTATACGACACATTTCGACAAAATCGAACAATAATCAAGGGTGTACAGTTCTTAAGTCCTGTAGACAAGTACAATTAGTGACTGTACAAAATAGGGTAAAATACAGTACAAACAAATGAACATACAATCAAACAGTTTTTCGCGAACCATTCATGTATTCATTAAGCATTCTGAGTAAACAAGTATTTCATTGTCATTTTAAATTGTTTTGCCTCTCGCGAAGGTTGCGGTCTGCCTATTTGAAGTGTGCTGACTTGATTTCTGATGTCGAGGGCTTTCTCTTCTTGTATGTCACGAGGAGCTCGTCAACACGTTACTGCTGAGAAAGATACAGACAGCAGTTATCCTGGTTCTCTTCGTCTGTTGAGGATAACCGAGCGGACGATGGGTTAGCCTAACTATTTAGCTATTTGCATGTCGACTTGAGGGGTCGGAGCCACAGGTTTTGTCGAAAATTTTTGCCCAATAATAATTATTATAATGCGTTATAATATTTTGTACTTAAAAGTAGTAAAGAAAACTCGCCCTTGTTCCAAAATTTTCATGTATTTTTAAAATTTTGTTGTATTAATTTTATCGGAAAAATAATGTAGAAATCGCCATAATAACACCCCCGACCGTGCGGTTTTCGGGGAGTGAGGAGGGGGGGTCGCAAACGGTCAACCGAATGTAGCATAAATATTGTAAATTAACAACGGGGTCGTAATTAATTTTGCTAATTATTAACGAACGCGCGTCCCCCTCAGCCCCTCGCGCGGGCGTCGGCGTCCGGGAACATTCCGGGCGACACGGCGGTTAATAAACCCGAGAGAATATTCCGCGATGTACGCGCGTATTTAAAAAAAGATCTGGCCGGAAGAGTATAACCCGCATTTATAAATATTTATCGACGCGGAACGGATAGAAATCAACCCCCAAAAAATAATAATTTCCCGTTTCTGACGCGTTTGATAAAAAAATTCCGTCGGATCGTTGGCAATGGGAGAAACATGTCAGTAATTTTTTTTAATTTCGAAAAAAATTGAATGTACTTGCAAAATTCTGCGTATGTACATCTTTTTAGCGAGTATTAATGTCCATTTTATGCTATACCACTGAAAAAATGTTTTAAAAAATTTATTTTTAAATTGTCATTGTCATTTAATAGGCTTATTTTTTATTTATATTTTTTTGGTTTGCCTAATTTCTTTCCCGATTTAGAGAATTTTTTAAGGACTGTTATATGGCTACACATTTACATCGTGTGTATTTTTTACTATTTTAAAAGTTTAATATTCCCTTTAACGCTGACTATAAAACATCTCCTTTGTGGTGTACCGCAGGTATTCCGAATTTCAACCAAAAACAAATGGCTACACTTTGCAAAATTGTATTTCGCCCACGGTTGTCGCGGTAACGAAATTTGCACGACAATGATGCGACTTTGAGTTAAATTGCTAACGTCGCGTCGAATCCTCAATTTACCTGGTTAAATAGTATTAACAGTGGCGTAACTATCGCCACATCGCCGCAAGCGAAAGAACTTCAATTTTTTTGTCTCACTCTTCAACAGGCCTCATTTGCATTCTTGGAGGAATTTTTCTTTACTCTTAGAAAGTTAGAGGATTTTTGAATATTTTAATACTCGCACCTTGAGCACCCTTGGAAATTTGGTGGTTCATTTTTAGTTCCTGATTCAGGAAGCAGAAGTGTGCAAATATCAGAGGCGGAGAGACACGGACTTGGGATTACCAGATTGGTGGAGGGGGGTGTGGGCATTTGCAACGTGACTTAATGCGAAGCAAAGATTAGAATTCGAATTTGGGAGGCTGTCCCGCGTCTTGATATATGGCAGGGGATAATATTGCTGCTCTGTCGTGTCCGTTTAGTAGATACGTATGTGGCTCGGTCGCCGCAATTTATGGTCCGGTCGCCGTAGATGCCGGCCGGGAGGGAAAAACCGATATTTATGCGTTTTCTTCGGATTACTCGAGAAACGACCGGATGTCATAGACACTGCGTGGCTATTTATTGCTTAAAGAGATTGGATTCGTCCCGCAAATTCGGCGGGCTATTCTTTTGCATATATACACCGCCATTTTCGAAATAAAGCTCGATACTTCGGTGCCTATCTGGTAACAGTGTCTGGTTCTACCGGCTGCATGTATTTTTGATAAGCAACAATAAGCGTATTATTATAAGAAAAATGGTAAGGTCGACGCTTTTTTTTTCACATACGGGTGTTCTAAACTCGGAGAAAAGAGAGAGATAGTACGATAAAAAATAGTCATAGTGAAACGGTTTTTTCCTTAACACAAAATTAAATTTTCTCAGATTATCATAAATAATCTTAATAATATGCTCTCAACAATGAAACAACTTTAATGTGTCAGTTTTAGCGAAAAATATGAAGAGAAATGTGCTTATTTTTCCTTGCATAAGTCTAAAATCATTCCATATTCCAAATAAGTCAGATTGATTGATTTATATTGTATTAAAATTTAAATAAATTTTATATATGTTCTTAAATAACATTTTTTTATCTATAAAACCAAGATTTTTCTTATAAATATCTGTGTACAAAGTATAATCCCAAGCTGGATTTGTTTGTTTTTCCGCACTAAATTTCGCGACACACCAACAATTATTTTTTTCCAAAGTCCGAGCATAAAGCACTCGTTTTTTAAATTCAGTTTTAGACGAAATTCGGCCCGTTTATTTGACAAACCTTTGACGAGATGTTCTTAAACCGAAAAAAGCTGCGAATGAATACCGGCATTGACGTAACGAGGGGACTATATATAATTAATATCAATAGATCGGTTCGATATGTTTCGTATGACTTTTATTTTAACTAAAATCTAGAGAGTTTGTTATTGAAAAAGTGAAAAAAATATCGCAAAATATTGATATTTACGCCCGCCGTAAACATTTTAAAATCAAGGATCGACGCGAAGCTAGAAAACGAATCTTTTGCGCGATGCTAGGCCGCGTGAGTGAGCAGCCAGACACGCCACGTTGTGCCGGACTGCAGAGTACATGGAGAGTATTACGAATTCTCATAAACGTTAGTGTATTTTACATAATGCTTCAAGGTTGTCAAAATGCTGATTCGCGAAATTTTCCCCATGTGAGTATGGAAATGGTGTATGAGTTTTTGGCAAATAACGTAAATTTAAATATACATATAAAGTTAATTGGTAAAATTGAATTCTGCTTTATTTGAGGTTATGATATTAACAATTATGAAAGCTATTATGAAAGCTATTATCAGTTTTTTTCTGCATTGAATATTCTATTTTTCATGCAGTAACGGCTAAACGGCAAAACATACTGAAAAGTGTGTTTTATTCTCTTCTACAATCTACAAAATTAATTTTTTTGTTCCCCCTTGCATTAGTTAAGCGATCAGGCACATTCCGAAAATGTCAAAAATTTACGAATTTCGCCTCCTTTCAAGAAAATAAATATTAAATATTAAATATTAAATAAATATATATAAATGTCGTACTTACCTATACTTCATATTAGGAATCTAGGTCAATTTTCATCAAAATCAATTTTAATTTGTTCGAGGATTACCAAGCAAAAATTATTGGGCAAGTACACAATAAAAAATTTGATTTTTGGCCCCTTGTTCTGTATAACTTGCTTAGACTTCTAAAAATCGAAATTACTTTGTAACGAAAATTGGCTTGATTCGTGATGATGTTTTCAATGAGAGAAGTTCTAGGAGAACGTCCAGTCACGTAGATATAATCTCATAATGTATTTTTTTGTCCACTTGAAAAGAGACACTTTTCGCTGAGCGCTCGCTGTCTTGCAGAGATTAAATGTCTGTCCGGTAGGTGTCATCCGGGCTCGAACGGTACTCAATTGATATTCTAGGCGTTTTCCATGTGATTTTACAGGTCGAAATGATCGACGTGCAAGAAACTGATTTCACATCTCGCCAAGCTGCGTCAAACCACTGTTTACGTTGTAGAGGAGCTTGTGGAACACTCACAGAATTTTTTTTTTGGTGATCCACTGGACGTATTGCTACATTTTGGAACAAAACACCATTTTCTGTTTGGCATTTTTAATTCCGATAAAGTTCACAGAATCACAAAATCAATCGCATTCAGTTAAAATAAAAAATCGCCGCACCCACCTATTTCATGGTCGCTACGACTCGACTAGGCGGCCAGCCCTATTGATTTTTATGAAATTTGAAAAATAGTGGGAAACTTTCATTTTTTCCAGGTGAACCCGATCGAAACCGTATTCCGTCGAATAATCTGGCTAATACAAAAACTATCGACGGTGACGACAACGACGACGACGACGACGCCGAGCTGCGATGGTCCGCCGCATCCGTCCGCGGTCTGACGGGAAAACCGGCGTCGCCGGAAACGTCCATTATCCTAGCGCGACGGTACTCGCGCACTCGTGCGTTCCGAACACCGCCGGAACCGCCGGAAGGCTACATCCACGAGCATTATAGTCCGGGAACTAAGAGGAAACTGCTGCCGAGTATCCTGCGTAAGCTCGACGACAAGTGGAAGAAAGCAGCTAGCAGGAACGGCAAAAAGTCGACGGCGACTGATAGCGCGTTATCTCCGCCTCTAATAGATAACGGTACCGCTTCGAGTTACGTAGCATCAATACCGGGACGATACGCTCGCGGCAACGATGTGAGTGATGCCAGACGAAACGCTGCCAAAGAACCATCCAAAGAACGTCGATTCAAGACCAAATACAGTCCGCCGCCACCGCCTCCGTCTCCGCCGCAGCCACCGCAGCGATTGCCGCGCCGGCCGCACTCGTCCGTGCCGACCTTTACCGGCGACGTAAAGACGAATAGTCGCGTAACGGGCGTCGGGCGCGCTTCTCCGTTCATTGACGAAAACGATTCGGTGGGCGACGACGTAATGTTGTTCCGCGTGGGTGTGAAACTGAAAGAGAGGATCGTGGTGGGTCTGAGCGTCGCGGTCGTGGTGTTTACCCTGGTGCTGATCGTCGACCTGAGGATGGACCTGGGACTCTCGCGTAAACATCTGGTGCCGTCGCACGGCAAGGTTCGGTACGTGGTCGACGGCGGTACCGCCGCCTACGACGGGTTCAGGAACAGGCTACTCCAGAATAGACGCGGGTGAGTGTCTCCCAGTGTCTAAATTTACTGCCGGTAGATAAAGCACCTGTTGGAAATCTGACGGTGTTTGTTTTTGACTTTTAATTAATTTTTTAATCATTTTCTGTCCGTAAAGGGTTAAAATGTTGCGGTTCATTGATTGCATTATTTCCGACTATTAAATATCTAATTAGCATATGAAACATTAACAAAGCATACCCGTGTCGTATCGGTTTTTACTAATTATCAATTATTCATCTCTTAATTAATTGAATTAAAAATAATAAATTACTTAAAGGCAACATTAATGTTTCATTTTTGATTTTGCACGTTTCCAGTGATTAAAGTTACAGAACACCGGTCATTAATTAAGTACATTATTCTCAGTTATAGTCATTAATTGTATTAAATGCCATTGATATTTATAATTGATTTTTTTAAGCACTTTTTTATTTTCTTAAACGGGTTAAAGAGTTACAGCAAAGCGGTTAATTAAATTAATTTTATTTTTATTTTTTTACCTGCTTTCAGTAAAAACATTAGTCATATTAACTGCTACTCATATTTTTTTTTTATAATTCTCAATAATTTATTAAAATATTACGCGGAAAATATTATTTCATTATTTTGTTAAGTCTAATATAATTAAACAATTTCGATGACGGTTCAGTGTTTTTTTAGTTTAATCAGTTAATGATTACCTATTTCTAACCGTGTTTACCAATTAAACAAGTATCGGAAGTAAAGCTGTATGAATTTAATTATTATTTATTTTATTCTTAATTGAATTATACAATTTAATAATTTACTTAAACTTTTTAAAGGTTATTAATTTTTTTTACCTGCTTTCAGTAAAAACATTAGTTATATTAACTGAGACTCATATTTAATTATAATTTTCTCATAATGTTCAATAATTTATTAAAATATTACGCGGAAATTATTATTTAATTATTTTGTTAAGTCTCATGTAATTAAACAATTTCGATGACGGTACAGTGTTTTTTTTTTCAGTTTAATCAGTTCTTAATAATCTATTTCTAACCCTGTTTAAATAATAAAATAATTTATTTAATTAAATTATCTCGAAATATTAGATATCTGAACCCTTACAAATTAACAAAGTATGGGAAGCAAAGTTGTGTGAAATTAATTAATTGTCATTTATTTAATTCTTAATTAAATTATAGCATTTGTTAAATTACTTAAGCTTGTTAAAGTTTATTAATTTCAATAAAAATATTAATTATATTACCTGCCACTCATATTTAATTCTTTTTTTCTATCATAATTTTCAATTATTTCATTAAAATATTACGCGGAAATTATTATTTAATTATTTTGTTAATTCTCTTGTAATTATACAATTTTGATGACGGTATAGTGTTTTTATCAGTCGCGTATTAATCTTCTAGTTGCTCCTATTTTTGTGCGTATTTAATAAATAAAAACTGCCAAACCAAATACGTCACACTGTCGTTCCTTTTTGCATTTTCGGCTGCAATTGCCCGCCGCCCCCATCATCGAAAATGGCTCGGGACGACCGGCGACCGACAACTTTGACATTTCAATCGGGGTCGGGTTTCCGGCCGACGACGTTTCGACTACTCGGTGTTACACTATCAGGGATCCTGATGGCATTCGGGAACGTTATCGCGTACTATTAATTCAATTTCCGGTAAATTCGCCAGGGGCAGAGGGGGGGTTGCGTATTAATTCGGTTAATAGTCGTGGAAGGCAATAGCGCGGCAACAATTGGAACTCTCTCGCCCCTCCACCTAGGTCCGTACTAAACCGTTGAGCTCGGCAATAAAGAGAAAAAGTCGAGATAATCCGCCATGTGAGCCTCGTCGTAAAACGTATATACAGGGCGATGTATGTGTGAGTGCGTTCTCGATATTAATAGTTTTAGTGAACTAAATTGTTTTCTATATTTTTTGCAAGAATCGTCCTGTAAATTCGTAAAACTCGCGCACGCGATTAAACTGTTTTTTTGGCGGGAAATAAACGCCAGCCATACTAATTAGTCGTATCATTCGGGGACGCGTTTCAACAAATTTAATGGCGGGCATCGTTTCGAGATAACCTTTGACTAAAATGTGGACGCAAAACGATGTTTACCGCACATTTAACGCGCGTAGCGTTAATACGTTAAATAATTATGCTGCCGATGGACGGGAGCGGATAAACAATTTCAGGGCGCGGCGTTGCCGGATCGAATGTGTATTTTTGCCATCTCGTTTTTTTTTTTTTGTTTGATCTTTTGTGTTTAAATAACGTCTGCGATAACGATTGCTTAGTTTCAATTTTGGTTCAATTTGGCTATCATTAGGGAGGGGAATTATTTGGGGATTTTTAAAAAATTAAATTAATTTAAAATAATTTAAATTTTTCATGAAAAAGGCTATTTTTTTTGTCAAGATTTCTAGAAAATTTATTGTGTGGCTTGACAATAGCAGTACATAATAAAACTTTTTAAAATTGTCAGAAACTTGGAAAGTGCCTTATTATCCCTACTATAAGGACAGCTAGCTAATGAAAACTAAGGATCACATAAATACACTCTACTTTTCGGTAAATCTTTATTTGAATTAACCACTAGCCAATTAACTAAACTAACCACCACGATAAGGATCCAATTTTCAACAATTACATAAATTAATACTACTATAGAAAAATGAGACAAACTGGTCATCTAAATAAATTATCTGACACATCTAAATACCCAAACTTTTATCTACAAAACACCAAATGGTGCCATAATCCGTAATTCTGTTAGCTTCTTATACCATTTGATGAATAATTAAATAGCAAGTTATACAGCCATTTAAATTTCTTCTTAAATTAGAATACATTTTTGGGCACACTAAGATGGTATTTTTTTTTCCTAATTAGGTTATAAATATGGTTTGTTTTTAAACTTCGTTGTAAGTTTCGCTAAGATAACTTAAGTACTTCTTAAATATTACAGAAATTTGAACCCGTTTGTCAAAATTGCAATTTAGACTGCTTAGAACCTTATTGAAAATGATTAGAACTTCGATACTTTTCGATTTGATTCTTTTATTTTAAAATCGAATTTTGGTCAAAATCGATATGGCCGTTATATACACGGCGCTTCTGTCCGCATATTCCCTAATATTCTCACTTAGTAATTGTTTTTGTTTGTATAGACGCGTAACTTTCGCTGTCTTTTTTTTATGAAATATGTTCCCACACTTCGTTTAACTAAATTCCACTATCACTTCTTTTTGTTTTTCGCGCCGAACGACGTGCTTTTGCAACGATTTACTTTGTCGACGCTAATTTTCGACTAAACAACCGAACTTTTCCCACGACTTAACGATCTCGCATTGTTTCCTCCTTTTTATTTTCCTAAATACGTTTTTCGATTAACACACCATCGCACACGCCCGCCTCTCGACCGCATGGGAACGTTTCCCTCCGTTTTCCTTTCTCCATTTGTCGTTCATTATGTACAGGACTAATAGAAATTGAACCACCCGCACAGTTGCCCATATTGGTGCTCGCCAATATGCCATTTGTAAAGTTTTGAAATTTTCAGTGGTTCCGTAGATATTCGACCAAAATTGTGTTTTTTTTTATTTATGATAAAATAACAAAGTCACAAAATTTACACATAGCTTCTCTTCGTTTGAAAACTAACATAATTGTAGGGACTATTGAAAGTTTGGATGATTCGGTGTACATTAAAAAAATATTCTGGCTGGCGCAGCGTGGCCAAATCTACATGAAAATCATTACAACTTGGGAATTTTAAGTCTGTCCATCATTATGTCCCATTTTTAGATCGTTTTACGGAGTATCTTATTAATAAAGGCATCGCGTTGCATCGTTCGTGACACAAAGCTATTTTTTGTGAAATGAATAGTGGAAATGTCATAGCTATGTTATTTTTATTTTTTACTTTTTTTTTACTGGCGACAAGTGATAATAGTGAAGCTATAGCCAAAGACGTTATTTAGAACGATTGTTATTACTAATTTTACATTTAGTTTTGGTGGTTGTCAAAGTTGTCATATGATTTATTATTTTTACTTACTGTTGAATAATAATTTTTATTGAAATAAACTTCTCACTTAAAGTCAGTTTGGGTCGAACTCGAGTTGTCCTGTATTTTTGGGTCTCGCCAGCTATTGGCCGAATCGTAAACGCACACAGATGCGGAAATTTATTTTGGGGTTAAAGTCCACAAAGCGGGACTGTGCAAATATTTTATTCGACCTTTGCAAATAACGCTGACGCTGCGCACACTACACAAGCGAAATTTAAATATACCTTAACGCGTATTTACCTTCGACGTTATTATAAACAAAATCAAACCGATGATTTGGCGCCGCCATTACGAAACGGCCGTCGATTTTGGGGTTCGCTGTAAAATTTTTCCTTTTAATTTGAAAAACGCCGCGCAGTGGGAAAAAATTATTTTTCGAAAAAAGAAAAACCTACACTGTTATGATAAAGTCAGTTGCATGCACATTTTACCAGCAAAATCCTTGATAAAAACCTTTGCATGAAATGTAAATCCGTAATCAATTCTACCACTTAATTAATGTATTAGCTGAAATACAAGGAAGCATGGTGTAACTTCTAAATTTATATAAAATAAATTATTAATATAAATAGTAAGGCAACTGTTCCAATAAACAATTGAAGCAGTCCGCTGTCACATGAAAATAATTGCCGCCAATTAGGAGATTTTTTTTATAATTAAAATGAAAATTTTTCCGCCTGTGGAATTCAGGTATATAAATTTAAATTTAAATAACTATATAAAAATATAAACAGTATCATTTTTTATTATTTGCCTTCCGCCTGCCGTTTGTTTTAAATATTTAACGTTTGCAAATTCGTCGGACAAACGACGGGTTCGCCCTTTTGTTTTCTCCGGTGTTCCGACACCCCCTCTCCTCACCGGCTCCTGACGTTACTAAATAATGCATATCGTTCTGCAAGTCACTAAATCTTTTGAATAAGATATGGCGCGCTCAATATTTGAGAAGTCAATCTCCCTTCTGCTTTAATCCCCCGAATTAATTCGTCCCTACGGTTTGGGTCCTTATCGTCCATCCGTCCCCCTCCCACCCATCCATTCCCTCCTCGCTTTCCGGGATTTTGTTTGCGTCGCAATTGCCGGCCCGCAGGGGTCAAAATATAGATACAGATACAGGTATCTTTTTCAGATTGCAATTATTAATTCTAATTTATTTAATTAATATATGCCTTTTTTAGGGAGAGTGCGGTGCGGAGATTTTTCCATACATTTTTGCACTTGCGTTCATTCATTCATTTCATTCAATAATTTTCTAAATATATAATGACATTTTATAAATATACGTTGTTGCAAAAAGCCTGCGTCAAAGCTCAGCTGAAAATTAGCCATTTAGAGAAAGGAGAAAACTTCTTAAATGTTTAGATTCCAAGTTAATGCCGTCTTGACAGTATTGTCAAAGAGATTTACGTCACTGGCTTATGTAGTTAAAAACCAAGATCAACTGCAACTTTTATAAGCAAAATAATTCTCTGTGAAAAATGAACGCCAAAGAAAATGATAAAAATTAGGCATGTAGCCTACGACGTAAAGATTTTCGCAATTTGTTACAAAAGCTGTATTTAAAAAATATATTTTAATTATATGATCATTGTTTTGGGTGGCGAACTTTAGCGCATGTTTTTCGAAACATCCGTTATATCAAGCAAAAAAGATCTACATAATTTTTTTAAAATATATTACAAAAATCATCAACCCGTTAAAATTCTACATTTGAAAATAAATTGACGTTTTTTATTATTTATTAAAAAACATGAAACTTTCTTAATTAGTTGCGATTTTTTTTTCGACAAAATCATAACATTGGAGAAAAGTAAATGCGTTATTAAGAATTGTTTCAAATGTTTTTTGACATTTGTTGATTTTGAAAATGTATTTTTTGATTTATCCGACTTAAAAACGGTATTTATCAATTCAAATTCTATCAGAATGTTATCGCTATATTGCCAATAAAGTTTTCATTTTAGAGATAAAAAAAAGATTAAAATCTGTAAATAACGCAGATCTACAAAATTAAACTTTTTGAGAGATGTTTTTATTTTGAAAACTGATTTTGTATAATTTTGGTAGGCTGATTTCAAAAATTCTATGCATTTATTTATATCACGTAAGGTTTTTTGCAAATTTTAAAGAAAAAAAAAAACGATATTTCTATAATAATTTGTTTTTTAATTCAGTAAAAAATTGAAATCCTATTGTTGCAATACACTGGTAAAATATTGACATAACTCTTTTTCGCGACCCGGATAAGAGCTTGATATTACGCCACGAAGTCTGGAGGCTAACAATTCGGATGCATCCTTTGGAAGGTGCAAATCTCTAATTAAATCATTTAATTCGCTCTGGTTAAACACTCTGAACATCTCCGAATTCTGGAGTCATCTGAGTCGGAATTAGATTCCTCTGATTCGAACGTATGACGTTTTCTAGTTCTTTTGGGGCGGTAGGTATCGGAGCATCTGGTCCATGAGGAACTGGTCGAATAACAGAGCTAAAATTGGAATGCACAATTTGTTTCTTATTTTTTGTGTTGAATCCTTGAACATTTCACGAACAAAACTAACAATCATCACTGTGATTCCTAGGCTCTCGCCATACCATAGGAACACCAAAGCTTAAACATTTCTTCCTACCTTTTTGCCAGTTTCTTAATGCTTCAACGCAAACGGAACAAACAGTATGAAGAGCACAGATTTATCTTGGTCGTCAATTTTTACACCAAAATAAACGGGGTATACATTTTTCACAAAAGAAGTTGTAGTTTGCTTTTGCATTACTAGGACATAACTACCACGAATATAAAAAAAGTTATTTGGATTGTTCACACAATGTCTTCTTTCCATATTTATACGTTCTAGAACACTCAAAAGCACGACGACCAATACAATCAACCTGCGCAGAAGCAGGTTACAACGCCCTGACGCTTCTGCGCCAACTCTGTTGCTTTGCAGATAAATCTAATATTATCCAGCGTTGCTAAATCACATTTAATTTCATAAAAGTCAATTCAGTGATAAGTGTGTATATTAATAAAATAACATTTTTAAGATATAGAGCGCAATAAAAAAAATGAGGTGATATAGGCGTTTTTTGGAAAAAGGGCCCCCAAAAATTTACAAATAAGCAAACAGTTTTCAAACATCAAAATCACTGTGGACCTGTGTAATTAATAAAACGGACGAACAATTTGAAAATCGTCTCAATTTCCGAAGCGCATGTGATTTTTTTTTTTGCAAAAATGGTAAAAATTTATAAGTAATTTTTTTCTGAAATTGGTCTACGCAGGTTTTGAGAGTATTTATTATTTTTTCGTTCTAGCGGTGGCGGCGCCGGGAACGTGTCGAAAGAAAGTGTTCCGAGCGAGGGCGCCGCGCTACGGGGGGCGTCCAAAAAGACGTCGGCCGACGACCCGCTCGACCGCCAGGAAGTAGTCGATTTCGATGATTTCAGCGACCTGATGGATTACGTGGCGCTGGGCGACGCCGAAAAGGAAAAATACCGAATCGACGTGGGGCGCGTGAACCCCGTTATTCGCAAAGACGAAGCGGACGCGCGGAGAGCCTCAGGTGTCACCCTCGGGACGCTGAAGAAGTTCCCCAACGAGTGAGTAACGTTTCGTTTGTCATTTTTTTGTCTGTTACCGACCTGTTGCCGCCGTCCTGCGTGTTTTTACGGCGTGCAACGTCGGGGAGCGAGGGACGCTTTTCCGATGTTGTTCTCCAAAATTCCTCGAGAATTTTCTTAATATTAAAAAAAAACACCGTTCACCGTTCACTGCTCTTTTTTTATGAAATTTTATAAAACAAATTTGAATTCTCGATTTTCTGCAAAAAAAGTGTAAATTCACAATATTCTTATGAAATTTCGTAAAACGACTGTTTGGTTATTATAAAATAAATTCTTAAGGAAAGTGTGAACGTTCGATCTTTTGCAAAATAGTAAAAAAGTAAGTATATAAATTCGCTAGCTTTTTTCAATTTTTGTAAAAAATTTAAAATTACGTTAATTCACACGTAACAATTGAGAATACAATATATATTTTGTTGAGAATTAATTAAATAGTTTTCCGTTATTAAATCAATTGTGCAGCATACAAAGATATTGCTTGTAATAAATAAAAAAAGAGTCTGCAACCCTTGTTCTACAAACAATGTTACAAACCATGAAGAATTTAATCAGTGTCGGTCCGCATATATTATCATGGCTGCAAATAAACCGTCGAGCTGCAAAACAATTACTTGGTCGGCAAGATTTCGCAATTGGTTAGTTTTGATTATTTTTGGTTAGATTTTTTTTAATTTACCTGTTGATTAGTTACTAAAATTTCATTAAACGTGGGTCGCTCAATGTAAATTATATATTTAAGTTACTAATCAACGATTTAGAAAAGTCTGCTGACCGTAAGTTATTAACCAACAAGCCATTTTGGCTGACCGAATACATTTTTCTGTTCACAAAAATAAGAGTAATTTGGTAATCGGTTAAATAATACTCCATTTCAATTAACAATTGACGACATATTCCGAATGCAACTCATATTGAAATAAATCAAATTTCAAGGGTAAATAAATTTCCTTTGGATTCGGTGACGACCAAAATACATTAAAACCTTCAAAATAACAAACAAAAGGTCCGATAACAGATATCGAAGAGTGGTTTTTGGCGCGATAGCATGGGCTCTTCATTGTTGTGATAATTTTTACGTGTACACGTCACATCACCGATATTATTATTGCTCGGTAAAATTTTCTCGTTCTGACGAAAATACAGAATTAATTTTGCCTCTTGGCAGCGGCCCGCGTAATATTTAACTCGGATTGCGTTTCAACACCCATTCCTACTCCTGGCAACGGTGTAGCGAGCGCTGTTGATATACAGGGCGTGTCTCGTAGAGGTAATTATTTACTAGATTTCTGGCGTCCTTTTCTCATACATTTCGATTCAATATGAGCACCTGTGTATGTTTTGGCCAGCACTTATTTGAACGCTCAAAAAATGTTGCTCGCGAATTTAATTAAATCATTAAATTAAATTAAATCATATTTTCGATTAATGGTTGGTTAATCGACAAAATAAAATTGCCTAACTAATATATGTTTTTGTTAATTGCAGTTAATTAATTGGTTGATAATCGAAAAATGCTGACAACTAACCATGAAACGTATTTTGCCTAATTCCAAGGAGGATTTGAAATGATACGAGTATTAATAAGTAATTAATTAAATATTAATAATTAACGACTGTCAGTTTTAGTACGAGTAGAATTTAATAATAATGCGTGGAAAACCTACTACGAAAAGTGCGAGAAAGGGAAAAAAATGCGTAAAATTTCGAGTGTTTGTATATAATTATATAAGAAATATTGTGAAATTGCCAGTATTGATGTTCGCGGTATGAGCTCAGGCCCACTAAAAGCTGTTTCTTAAAAAAAATGCCACATGGGATGTGGATGTTTCCAGAGAATGTTGTGGCAAATATATCTACAATAATAGTCTAAATTTTTATAAAATACGTACGTTTTTACTGCATAAATGTTCTATTTTTGACTAACATCCTCCCTAGTTTAATTCAAATATAATATACAATATAAAAAAGGTTCAGAAGTACGGGTAGTCACTCAGAATTGCAAAATTTTAAATGCTTTAGGTCGAAGATAAAATCTGAAATTAGGGACTGCTATAAAAGCTATCTAGTGAAAATCGAATGCGACGTTTAAAAAGATCCTAAAAATTTTTGATCGTTTGTTAAAAACGAAAGAGAATTCTCAGGTGCACCCAGTTATATGAACTTTAATGACACTCAACTCAACTCTTTTGCACTATATATTTGACAATCATTTTCTAACGGGAATTCTCTCAACAATTTTAATGGTATTAGTAATTTACACCACTCTGAAAATATAAACATAAAGATGTTCTCCGAATATGAGGTGGCAAAAACTCTTATAAATTTTATTCCAGCATTCCTTACACATGACTTTGGTTTTGTTCTGGCTAAACCGCTTATAATACTTTTTAATCTGTGTCTAAGAAACCAAGCCGTATATGGAAAATATCTAAAATTATTCCCGTACACAAAAAAGACTGTAAATCACGAACCATAGGGCTATTTCCCTTATCTGCAATTTCTGTAAAGTTTTAGAGTCCATCCATAGTTAAACTAAAAACTAAACTAACCAAATAGTTCCCCAACAATATGTTTTTTTTAAAGGGAGATTCACCTTACCAATTTAACGACTATATTTCTTAGGCTATTGACGAAGGTTCTCAAATGGACGTCATATATCTTGATTTTTCAAAAGCGTTAGATCACAAAGTTCTAATCAAAAAGTTCCGTGCCTTTGGATTTTCCGAATCGCTTGTTAATTTGTTTTTCTACTCCCGTCTGTAAATTACCTAATTACACACTGATCTAGCGTGCGGGAAGCGTCACTTTACCACGTCAGTTTCGTTTCCCAAGAATCCACGGATTTCAGAGCAATCGGATGTTTACGGAGATATTTCCCACGCTTTGAATTTTGTCGTTTGTCAATTCTGACGGTCATGTCAGTGAATGTATTCGTATTGTTTTGCGAAAATGGACCCAAAAACTAACGGTCGTAGAAAAAGTATAGTATGCAACACGTTCGGTAAACTTTTTAACTCACTCGTTTATTAAACACACGCTCCGCTGGGCTCCGCTCGGGTCAATTAAACTAGTGAGTCAAATGCCGTTTACCGCACTTGTTGCATAATATACTATTTTCTACTACCGTCTGTAAAATACCCTCCCTGAATCCGTATTGCTGACCAAAGTAAAGATTAAAATTGTCAAAATGTTTGGTAATTTGGTTTTTTAATACTGATTCAATGATTTTTGATATACAAGGTACCATAGAAATAAGGTCTGTTTTCAGTAGGTCTTAGCTGTATTTCCTTCGTCTTCAATTATTTTCTTAGTGAGACCGCATTTTGCTTTCTTTATTTCATTTTTGTAAAAGTTGTTCTAGCTTTTAATATTTCTTGTAAAATGTGCATTATTTCTTATTAATTGAAGTTTTGGAGTGAACCATTTTTGTTTTCTAATTTCATTTGTATTAATTATTACTTCTTTCATGGGAAAGCAAATCTCAACGGTGTCGGTAAGTATAGCTACTACATATTCAAATTTTTGATTTAAAGAAAATTTGGAATCGTAAGCAAAAGACCCTATCTATTTTTTGAAAGAATTTTAACGTACATTCCTGACTAAATTCACGTAACTTCGTTTTTGTTGTACCATTTTGAACAGGACTGTTCCATGATTCGATAACCCAGGCTCAACGTCAGCATTTATTTTTTAATCGTCTTGTATATTTGTAATTATATTATCGAGACAATATTTTTTTCTAGTTTCTTTCTTGATACTATACCTAAAATTAAAAGAATTAATCAAGTCAAGTGGATGTTAAAATCCGTTTATGATGATATCATATTGTGCCCCAAAAATCGGAAATATTCAGCTTGACGGCACAGGAGGTGGCTCAGGCAGGCTCGCCATTTTTTCGCCCGCGATTTATGCAATTTTTCGATCTTCCCGCAGATAAAACTGTTTGCCAATTTGGCAATAACGCGGCGTCAGACTATTGTGTGCATCTAGATCCTGGTTAGGGCGGGAGGGGCGGTTGGGATGTTGGTTTTCGTTTCGCCGGTATCCGATTTTATCCCGCCTGATGATAATTTTCCTGCTGATCCTGCGCGGCAAATTTCGTACCGCTGCTTCGGTCGTCAGATTTCAACACGGGCGCGCATCCACCATCTGTCGCGAAAATACTGGGTATTTCAAAAAAACTTTCCGTTTATATTATTAAAAAATAACGTTAGTTTGGTACGTTCGGTTCCGTAAATGTTGTGTCAAATAAAATGCATGAATTACGTCTACTAAGTAACTAAGTAAAAAAATACCCCCGGCGCGCTGTGGGTAATTTTGCTAAATTAGGCGGAAAAAAATATATGTGAAAATTACTTAGCTCTGATTGATAGCTGTAGAAATATTTCGATTTTATATGTTAGGTATCGTAGAATTATAATACTAAATAAATATTAATAGCCGATCCCCTGCAGGGTACTATAATAATTAAAATCTTGGAAAAAGTGTGTATTTTTTTGAATTTTAATTCTATTTTGGTAACAATAATATTCATGATATTATAAGTACTTTTAATGATATCTATAAATTATATACGACTAAAGTGTGCTGACAGTAATAAAGAATACGATAAGAAATATTATGGAAACATGTTATTTTAGAGCAATTGTTACTTAAATGTTAATAAAGTAAAAAAAGCAAAATCTTTACTTAACTATTCTGCTTGGACATTAAATATTTACACCCAACAGCATTGCTTAATCTTAAATTTTAAGGGTGGCCGTAAAATTAAACACTAGATAGAATAATTTAGAAAAATAAACTTTAAAATATCTCTTGTTAGAGCCAAATATTTTGGCTTGTCAACCAGACAAGAAAATGAACATGCCTCGGTTAAGTAGACAGATGCAAATAAGAAACAAGAAAATTACGGTGAAGACTACTGATTTGACAGGAAACACCAGTAGCTGATTGTAGTAAAACAGAACATATAACTT